CCCAAAAAACCCACACAAAACACATATATATGTATACAGGTATGTATATATTCACACTCAGCTGTGTATAGAAATGTAACTTACCCAATACAAATATAGGAGGGGTAGGGGACAAAGAGGGAGGAGAGGTATAGGGGAGGGCAGATTAAGGTAGACAGTAATTAGAAGTAAAGACTTTTGAGAAGGGACAGGTTAAAAAAAATAGAGAAAGGAAGAAACAGAAGATAATGAGATAGAAGGAAATACACAGGTAGTAATCATAACTAAATGTGAATGGGATGAGCTCACCTATAAAACAGAAGCAGATAGCTGAATCAATTAGAAACCAGAATCTAACAATATGTTGTTTATAAGAAGACCCATCTGAAACAGAAAGACATATACAGTGAAAATAAAAGACTGCAGCAGAATCTAATATGCTTCAGCTGAAGTAAAAAAGGCTGAGGTAGCAATCTTGATCTCAAACAAGTCAAAAGCAAAAACAGACCTCATTAAAAGAGATAATCAGGGCAACTACATTTTGCTAAAAGGAATGATATACAATGAAGTAATACCAAATTTTTTTACAGAAAGTTTCTCGGATAAAGATCTCATTTCTCAAGCATATACTGAGTCAAATTTATAAAAATAAGAGCCATTTCCCAATCGATAAATGGTCAAAGGATATGAACAGACAGTTTTCAGAAGAAGAATTCAATGCTATCTATAATCATATGAAAAACTAACCAATATTGATTAGAGAAATGCAAACTAAAACAACTCTGAGGTACTACCCTCATACCTTTCAAAAATGACAAATGCTGGAGGGGGTGAGAGAAAAACAGGTACACTAATGAATTGTTGGTAGAGTTGTGAACTGGTCCAACCATTCTGGAAAACAATTTGGAACTACAGCCAAAAGGCTATAAAACTGTGCATACCCTTTGATCCAGCAATACCACTATTAGGTCTGTATCCTGAAGAAATCAAAGATAAAGAAAAAGGACCTATATGTACAAAAATATTTATAACAACTCTTTTTGTGGTGGCAAAGTACTGGAAATTGAAAGGACGCTCATCAGTTTGGGACTGGCTGAACAAGTGGGATAAGTTTGTGATGGAATATTAGTATGCTACAAGGAATGATGAGGGGGGTGGTTTCAGAAAAAACTGCAAGACTTATATGAACTGATACAAAGTGAAATGAGGAGAACCAGGAGATCATTGTGCACCATATTACACAATATTGTAATGATGATCAACTTGACTATTCTGATCAATACAGTGTTCTAACACAATTCCAAAAAGCTCACGATAAACACTCTGTCCACCTCCAAAGAGAACTGATGAACTCTGAGTGCAAACCGAAGCATAATTTTCTCACTTTCTTTATTTTTCGTGCTTTTTTTGTAATACAGCTAATATGGAAAAGTTTTACATGATTTCACATGTATAATCATTTTATTGCTTGACTTCTCAGTGGGTTGGGGAGGGGGTGGGAGGAAGGGAGAGCATTTAGAATTCAAAATTTTAGAAAGAGTATTAAAATAGATAATTTTTTTAAAAGTCTTAAATTTAATAAGGTAGTAACAAAATGTATTCTCTTCCAATCTTTTTTCAGTGTATTAAAAAATCTTTTATTAATGCCCTTTCCTCTCATTACCTACTAACTGACACATGGAAGCAAGCCCTTATAATGAAAAAGTATAGTCATGTAAACTGAATAAACACATCAAAAGTCATTTAACTCAACTCTCTTCTTTCACAAAGGATGAAATCTTGATTGGTCACTACACTAATCAGAGACAAGTTTTTCAAAGCTGTTTTCCTTTACATTGTTCTAATAATGATATAAATTGTTGTCGGGTACTGCTCATTTCACTAGACTAGGTTATTTTTCTACTCCCTGGTGAGGTGGTGGAAAATTTTGAAACCTAAAGTCAAAGAAGCTAGGTTCAAATTTATTGTGACTTTGGGCTACAAATTCATCAGCTATACAAAATGAGGCCAGGGCAGGGATGAGGGAATAGGGGGCATTGGCCTAAATAATCTGGTTATTTAGAACCTGCCAATGCTATATCTGGGATCCATTTCTACTTGCTATCAATATGACTGCTTTAGAACATTATATCTATTACTCTGTTTACAAATTAAGCATGTCTATCAACAGTAGACTTTATTGTAAAGTGTAAGCAAAAACAACTGTACAGTACAGTTAAATATTAAGCATCAATAAGCTTTAAAAATTAGTAGGTCTGTAAATATCATAGTTTAGAAAAGTACTCACTCACATAAATACGCTGTAATTGGTTACTGAGGTCAGACTAATAGTTCGCTTCTGGAAACTTTGTCATTGTGCTCCATACAGAGAGCAAACTGCTTATGGATGGCACTGCAATTCGGCCTTTTACTGTCATCATTCCTCAGTTACAGAAATTTACCTTTAGGTAAATATTTTTTACAGAAGTTTCTACTAATTTGTACTCTTTCATATGTTGGCTACTATCAAAGAAAACTTGTGTGGGGATGATTTTATAAGAATTGTTTTTAAAGGTTCACTTTTTTTTCCAAAATGAAAAAAAAAACCAATTACACATTTGTAGAAACACTAATAGGTCAATAAAAAAATTTTAAGACATCTCAGCCTGAAAATATTTGTTAGCACTGAATTCACTCAAAGTGAACCAACTATTAAAATTTCATGTATCAAACATTCTGAAATGCAATATCATGGAAATATAGCTACTATTAATGGGTTATATATTTTATACTACATACATGTATACTATACACGTTATATATAGTATATATTACATATACTATATATAATGTATACTTAGTATATATACTAAATACATTTATGCATTAATACTAAAAAATGTTATTAGCATCAAAAATGAGCAAATCCTTCCAATGATGACAATCCTCAAAATGGCAGGACATAGATAAAAGTTATTACCTTGTTGTCAAGTGATGCAGTTTATGTCTCTTCAATTATTTCTTCTGATTTTCCAGGTGTAGGAATACACATATTCTAGACAAGAGAACAGAGGTGCACAATTCAGATTATTAAGCAAAAGCATGCAGTGACTTAAAAGATAATAAGCCGGGGCAGCTAGGTGGCACAGTGCATACAGCACTGGCCCTGGAGTCAGGAGGACCTGAATTCAAATCCAGCCTCAGACACATAACACTCACTAGCTGAGTGAGTCTGGGCAAGTCACTTAACCCCAACTGCCTCACACACACAAAAAAAAAGATAATAAGCCACAAGCATTAATACTGTTATGTGTATAATTGCTATACTATTCTTGACTTTCACAGTGACAGCTGTTAAAGCCCTAGACAAATCGTGAGCTACTATAGGCAATACTCCTAGTTGTTTTAATTTTTAATATAATACTCATTATCTGCTTTCTTGTACTAATAATTTTTAAATTTCAAGTTATTTTCAGGTAGTATTTCATCTTCAATTATCAAATTTCTTCTGTGAAAGCATGTACAATGAAGGAAAAAGATATACCTTTTTTCTCCTAAGTATTTACAATGACTTCATAAAGCATCACTTACCATATATCACATGACAGATTCCTCAGTCTTTTACTGAATCTTCACAGCTGTCAAAGACCTCTGAGTTTCTGGAAAAGGGCCTGCAATCATTCTATCCTCCTTACTTGTAAATTTCACATTTAAACTTTTGAGCCAAGTAGGTGATAACCACTGCTAGAAATTAAAAACCTGGAAATTATAAATTATTCTTCTGTATTAGTGGCTACACAGATTTTCCTAACAAAATTTCTTCGGGACAAGATAATTTTCATAGATTTAAAAAAAGCAGGGATATTCTTCTATTAGAAAAGAGTCATTACTTCAGTGCTAAACCATTCAAATAAAGATGCTCAAAGCAAACCAAACCATTAAAATATATAAATGTCCCTCCTTTCAACACTCTGAATTGCTACATCAATGCAAGCGAGCTATTAATGATTACTAAGAGTCACATATTTTCTTTTTATTTACACGGTTAAGAAGCAAAATCTATTTCACACAAGAGATTTCTGTAAGGATTTATTATTAAACTAGGTTGTTAAAAACCCCACAACTCAAACTGCTGGGGGAAAACAGGGCTTTATTTTTACTTTTAAAATTTCTTCTCTTGGCCAATCTCCACAGATTTGGGCTATATACTTTAAGACACATAAGGTGACAAAGGAACAATTTAGGAGGTGTTATCTCTCTAAATACCACGCAGCATGCTTCTCCTTCCACTCATCCATCCCCCTAACATTCCACTACCTGGCAGCAAGAACAAAGTAGATACATAAACCATAGTTGCATTCTCTCGTCTTCTGAGTAAATTCAAAAGTTCTCTGAAGGTTCATATAAGCCTAGTCCTAACCTAGAATTGTCTTGCATATTGAGAAAAACAGATTTTTTTAAGATTAATAGCATATAACGAACAGAACCAGGAAAACTAACTACTTGGTATTTTTTTCACTCTAACCCCTCAAGGATGACGATCACTCTCTCTCTCTCTCTCTCTCTCTCATACACAGACACACAAAGAAATTTTCTACCCCAATCTACTCCCCCTCCCATATTCTGTTAGCCCTTTGCCCTCATGTTCATGTCCAATTTTAAATGTAGACAAACTAGTATAAGAATTATGAAAATCTTGAATATAATAAGACAGATGGACAGCGCATGGTGGCAAGCATTGGTGACTCCTGTGGCTGGGAAAATAAGACTGATAGATCTCTTGAGCTCAGGAATTCTGAGCTGCAGCCTGGCTAAAGCTGACCATGTATTAGACCACGTCTCACATCAATATGGCGAGTCTCCATGAGTAGAGGACCACTAGAATGCCAAGGGAGGAAAGGAACCTGCCTGTGTCAGAAAAACAGAATAGGTTAAAGCTTCTGTACCTTGTAGTTGGATCCAGTCTCAAAAACCAACAACAGCAACAACATGATAGATATTTTTGCTTAATTTCCTTAATGGAGCACAGAAAAACTCAGGAATGAGGTAGAAGAGAATCTAAAGTGTTTCCTTTTATTTATAGAAAATTCTGTCAACAACCTTCTTTTCCCACTGCAAGATGTCACAAGGAACAGGAAAAAATACATATTGTAGTTAGTGTTTTTTATAATCTCAACTAGTAAAAGAAAATAACCTATTTCTAGCTAAGTTCTGAATTATTTACATACAAGACACACAAAGACAATAGTGTTATGAACTTAAACAAGTTTCCCTAAACCTCTAAAATGTTTCCTCCAGGGAAAACATTTAATTACATAATGCCACAATCAAGATATATATATATCAAAATAAATTGTGCTTATTCTTAAGTCAACTTTCAGAAAAATAATATTTCATATACTTTAACTATTGTGGTGTTTTTTTTAGAAATGATGACACCAATATTTTACATTACAATTTCTTTCTTAAGTTACAGTTTCTGTAACAGTCTTATATGACAAAATTCTTCGAAACAGAAAATGCATTTTCAGCAGGTCAACATGAAAACTAATTAAAAACCTTTCCTTTTTGAACAAAATATCTTAGCCCTTTTACAATAAGAACTAGAAAAGTCTGAAAGATAAAAGAACATACATAATTTTTCCAATGTACAAAGTGTGTGCTAATAAGATAAAAAAATAAAATGTTCTCTAATGCAGTCCAAAAAGCTGCTGTGAAGCTACTGAATGGAAACGTCCATTAGCAGCCAGGCTCTTCCTGTGGAGCATCGTTGCCATCTCTCTCTAAAATGAAAAGTTAAAAAAAAATACATCAGTCCACATTTCCCAGAAAATAAGCACTAGTGCACTTACTGGTCTCAAGAACACAACCATTATTTAACTATTCACTTACTGACTACTTATTCAGGAGAAAAAGTACAGATTTTCTTTATCAACTCTTGTGAAAATTAGATCAGAAAAATGTTCTCCATCAAAAATAATTTAAATCTTATCCTCACATATACTGTTATCTAACCCTTTAAAAGCTATTACATGAATACAGTGAAGCAAGGAAAGATTGGGGTGAACTGATTCAGAGAGCAGAGTGAGCAGAGCCAAGAAAACAACAGACACAACAACTACAACAATGAAAATGGAAACAACCATACATTCAAGGTAATGTAACTAAACTGTAAAAAACAGAGAGGATGAAAAAGAATTGAAAGAACAAAGATTTATTCTGGGTTACTCCAAAAGTGGAAAGCATAGAAAAGCAGATTTCAGTTAAATCTGGAAGCAAAAGACTTTAGTGTGAACCTTAGTTCTATTACTTACTACCTATATTGCAACCCTGGTCAAGTCACTTAACCTCTCTGGGCCTCAATTTTCTTCTCTGCAAAATAAAGTCAGACTAAATGATGAGGTCATCTAAATTCACAGTCCTTAAAATGGCTTTTTTTTAACTTAAAAAAAAAAGAATATATTCTATATATCCTCATACAGCCATTACAGACGAATAATCAAATACATATATAGCCATAAAATCTGACACTTACCCTTAACACTTAAGTAGAACTAAATTAACAGACAACAAACATGTCAAGTTGTTTTACACACACACACACACACACACACACATATATATACACCAAAATGTGATGGCTAATATGGAAATGTTTTGCATGACTGCACATGTATAATCTCTCCAAAACTGCTCGCCTTCTCAAGGAAGCAAGATGGAAGGGAAGGAAAGAATATGAAACTCAAATTTTTTTAAAAAATGTTAATTTTTATTTACATGTAATTGAGAAAAAAATTAAATATTAATCAATGTGAACCCTTTTCTGGTTCTTGTAGTCTCACCTTGCATTATTTCATATACATCATTCCATATAAAGGAAAAACTTTTAAAGTAATCATTAAAACCTTCCAGAAATCTTCATCTCTGTACCTTATGAGATTCCCTCACTTAAATGTTCAAGTAGAGATCAGAGAGGTGAATTATCCAATAGGGTGAGAGGCTGAACTAAACGATCTCTTAAATTTTCTTCATTTTTCTTTACTCTGAGGTTTATTAGACAGTAATAATTTTTCTTTACCACAACTGTGGCTTAAATATTTACCATATTTATATTTATATATTTTCTTCATGTAAATTCCTATATAACTTACTTTCTATGTAAGATAGTTCCTAAAATACATACTCCTGTTTCTATTTTCTTGACATATTTTTGTATGTTCTTTCCTCACAATAAAAACATGTTCCCTTTCCCCCGAAGAACTGACTTCTAATAATTTCAAGGTGCCACAATGATACAGTAGCATCTTACACAAAGTATAACTAGTTACCTAGTAATGCCGTATTTTCCCCTGTATCATCTTTAAAGTTGTTACACTGTAGCCCAGATCCATCTGTAGAAGATGATGGCAAACTATTTACTTCACTTCTGTCTTCATCTTGTAAAGTGACGCTCAAATTTACAACTGAAACACTACCAGGTATGGATTCTGGAACTGTCATATCCTGTATATCCTCAAGATTTCCCTTAAATGGCAAAAAAATGAAATTCCTAAGTAAGCACATAAAATAATACTTTTCCCCACAATACAAGTAATCAAGCTTGCCAGAATTTTATTTTTATTATGGCAATTCCTAATTGTAAAGATTAAAGAACACATATTTCTCAGTATCCCATTGCAAGTTTTCAATAATTTATCATTGCTAGGGCATAAAAGAATAATAAATATAAAAAGCAGGCATAATAAATCCAACGTTTACAAACTATTACAAACTATTAATAATGAAAAAAAGGAAACGTTGAGTACAAGAATCAATAGAAAAGTATAAGTAATGATGTCGTGAATGAGTAGATCAATGAACAAATCATAGAAACATTAAATAACTGTGCTCACAATGAAAACAATAAAACACACTAAAACTTAGGAATTCAGATAAGGCAGTCTTCAAAGATGGAGTTTACATTTTACTGAAGAGAGACATGTATGAATATAATTATACAGAAAATTAATATATAAATAACAAAATTATTGAGGGAGAGAGGCCATCAAGTAGGGGAGAAAGGAAGCAAAATCAGGAAAGGTCAAAGGTGACACTTGCGTTGGACTCTGAAGCAAAACTACCCAAAATGACAATATTAGTGACTCATTACAAACCAAAAAGAAATGTTCATAAGGAATTATATAAGGAATAAACAAGATTATAAGACAGAAAGTCTGACCATGTCACTTTCCTACTCAAACTGTGGTGGCTCCCTACTAACTCTAGGAATTTATGTCTAAAAATTCCTTAGGTATTTAAATGCCTTCTCAACTTGTTCCTAATTTAAAATTTATACAAGGTATCCCAAAAATCTTAATGTAGCATTAAACTCTAAGGAGTTTAATACTTCGCAATAACACTAAAACTTTAGGACACCCTATAAATGATTCCCTTTCACTATTTGGTCCAACCAGCTTCCTTCCTGTTCTTCACATATAGCATTCCATATCTCATCTTTGTGCCTCTGCACTGGCTGTCAATCAAGACTAGAATTCATTTCCTCCTCACATAAGACTCTTAGAATCCTAGGTTTCCTTCAACACTCAGCTCCGGTCATGTTTTAGATGAAGTCTCCCTTCACCCAACCTCTCTTGCTACCTGCTACAGTTCCCCTACCCAATTATCTTATATTTTCATTGTATGTGTGTGTGCGTGTGTCTATGTGTGTACACACTTATATATCTTGTATATCCCACCCCCAAATAGCAAACAAAGGCAGATTTTGTATTTGTTCTCTTTTATTCTCTACATACCTATACATTACTTAATGTCTTCCTTGTGTGAAAATAGCTCTTTGAGATTGGCAATTATACCATTAATTTATTTGTATCCCCAGGATCTAGGACAGTTCCTGGCACAGAGTAGGAATTTTAGTACATGCTTGCGGATTGATCACCTCTGTTACTGTATGCTTTGTATCATATCCATGTGTGTACATGCCTTATCCCTTCCATATTAGACTGCTTAATTTCTTGAAAACAAGTGATTCATATCGAGTTCCTATTGCCTAGATGGTGTTTTGCACATAGTGCTTACTGAATGCTTGCTGAATTAAAAACACTCACCAAAAGTCAGATAAATTAAACTTACCTGCGGAATTGTCTGACGATTACAAATAATACTAGTTGAGGATTACCTCCTCACCCTTGCCCAAAGTAATTTGTTCACGTTTTGAATCTAAGTAGTCTTTTTTCATGTGAATCATGATTTAAAGAGATCTCTTACACATTTCACCCTCTATTTAGGAATAAAATATAGTAGGTAATAATTGGATAGAAAATTGAACTTAAATAAAAATTTAACTAACCCAGTATCCTAGGGCTTTGATGACATCAAGTTTACACATTGGACAAGTTCGGTGGTCCAAAAGCCAAGGATCAATGCATGTTCTATGAAAAATATGCCTAAAAAATATTAAGTATGTGTTAACATTTCAAAAGAAAAACACTTTTTAAATGAATGCAAACTATGCTACTTGCTTATCATGCTAGCAAAGTTATTTATAGTTAAAATAAATTCAATCATCAACCTATTAAACCATTCTAAATCTTCTGGGTTATATGTTAGAAAGTACAATGTGAAGAATAAAAAGAAGTTCTTCATACCACAAGATAATTTTGTTCAAAATACTTAATGAGAAGTTTCCACTTGTGGTAATACCCAAACATATTACAAGGAATATTTATTTAATAACGGAAAATAATGGCATTAAATACTCTGTAAAAGAACATATCTTAGGTCACTTTAATTTTACTACTCAATTTATACATTATGCCAAAAACAGTCACTAATTTCACTATAAATGTATTACCTTCATTTCTGGTATATGGCATTAAAAGGAGAGTTCCACTAACTGTAATGCTGTAGTACTGAAAGACTTTAATGCAATGGACTAAAGTGCCTTATTAAGTTAGTCGCTTAAATATAAGGAGAAAACAATTTTATTTTTCTCATTTGTTTCATTACTTTATGAAAGATAAGGTAGAAAAGTTATGTTAGGAAAATAAAAGTAACCTAGTACATAAATTTAAACATTCCTCTAAACATAGAGAATAAATAAGAATGTGTATTATAAACATGGCATGAATTGGTGACGAAGTTCAGGCCTACTTTAGGAATTAATTCAAATCCCCACTCGAGAACTTGCTACTTAATTCTGAGTATTTAATTGATTTCCTATTTTCCAATTGGAAAATTAGAGTGAAAAGAATTTTAAGACATTTTGATTTTTCCCATTGCCTTCTGAAAGGGCCACTCTAATCCATCCTATGCAAAGAAAAATCTTAGCAGGCCATGGTGGTACATGCCAGTAGTCACTTTCTACGAGGCAGGCTGAAGTCATTTGAGTTTGAGAATCCTGAGCTGCACTAGAACTAAAACTAAAGACATCTGCACTAAGTCTAGCTTTCATATAGTGAGCCCCTGGGAGGAGAGGGTGACCAATATGCCTAAGGAGTGGTAAACTAGCACAGGTTGGAAAAACAGAATAGGTGAAAACTTACACTATCAAGGAAGTATTTCCAACCTGGTCAAAAATCCCCTTCTCTACCTCAACTCCACCTCAAATGCCAAAAAAAAAAAAAAAAAATTCCATATAACCCTCCAGATTATTACTCTCTAAAATTTTAGCTAATTCAAATACTACTAAATACAAATCAAGAACCATAGATTTAAACTCAGTTGTATTCAAATAACTACACTTCGGTTTGGTTTTGATAATACTTGCTCCCATCTCACTCAAAGATGCTTAATTCTTATTTTAATAAATGACTATGAAGCAATTTGGGAATGCAAAGTAAAATATAATTATATAATAATCTGCTATAGGCCTTGAAAGTATAATTAAACAGGAAAAAAGACTTCTAGCAGGCTATAATTTCTTTCCAAGATAACACCTTATGCTGACCAAAAAGTTCTTTTAAAGAAGGGCATAATTAACTCCTCTTTCAAAATCATCGTGATTTTTCCAACACTGACAGTTGTTATAAGTGTAATGACAGAGGAATTTTATAGTTAGGGGAAAATAAAACACCAGTAGTACAGTTTATTTCACTCATTATCTAAACAGAATCTTGTATAATGGGGCAAAAGTTTCATTATCACCAGCCTCTTTGTTTCTCTCTTTTGCAATGTTCTAACATTCACCACTACACATCCACTTGTCTTCTCCTTAAATCCCTGCTTTCTGCGTTTCGAATAACCCTCACTCTTGTTGTATCTCTTTTGGGACACTTTTTGTTAGGTGCCTATTAAAGTATTAGTATTAAAGTAGCAAGTTCAGTATGGTTATCAGGGTCTAGGATCCAACGGACATGCTCCCCAGCAGCAATAATCTTGTATTTCTACATCATTTGATTCTTTAAATCAAAGAAGAGAATTGAAAATAGGGTCAGTTCAAATACACAATGTGTATACATGCATACATGCCTGTGTAGGGACAAAAGATCATTGACAGCTTTAAGGACCCACAATTCTAAATAGGTTACAATGATCCCTCGGCCATCAAAACAATCTATACCTACATATATTATACTAGGTATTAGACCCGAGTCTTAATAATACTCAAATTTTTATGCTAAGCAAAACACTTTCAAAATGATATTGCAAGTTAAAGATATTAGTAAAATAAGCTAAAGTAATATATGAAAGAGAGAAATTAAAAGGAATTAAGTTCATTAAAATTATTAGTAGTAAACAAACTTGTCAAGTAACATTCTTAAGAGGGAAAATTGACAATGAAATAAGAAACATACTTGCATGGCAGAATTCTAACAATATCCTTTGGTTTATAATTTTCAATGCACACTGCACAATTTTCAGCATCAACATCAATTCCCTATAGGAGGAAAAGTGATTACAAATATATTCTTAATAAAACAACAATGAATCACAAATTTATGTCATGTGAGCTAAAATACTGAAGATGGAAGGACTGTTGCCAATTTTTTTAATCCCAAAGTTACCAAACAAAGAAAATGAGTGAAAAGAAAAAATCCATGTCAGTCCACCAAAGTTGTATAAATAATCTAACCAATTTTCATGTTCTAAAGATGACATAAATGACAAAGTCTAGCTTGCTTGTATTTTTATATCTACTTTTAAAATGTAACCAAACAAGGTAAAAATATTATAAAATTCCATAGTTTTATTTTAATCAATTCCCACCCACACACCCCAATCAATTTAACATTCTTTTTAGAATACTAAGACACAACTCCTTAATCTAACTTGCTTGACCATTTAATACTGAGAAATGAATACCGTCAGCTTCTTAAGGGCAGAAAGAACATCATGCATAGTCATTCTTTTAAAAAACTATTTTTTTAGAAAAACAAATATATCAAGAAAATGTTTTCTACATGCTATCTAAAAAATCTTGATCAAACGCATTTTTTTTAGATCTGCTTACAAAAAGTATAATGGAATAAAATCACAAGTAGTATTTCCATATTTGTTTTTATTATAAAAAGTTATATGGTAATCACTAACAGCAAAAACACTGAAAATTCTTTTTAAGTATTTTTATTTTAAACATATTTCATACTAACTACCAATATCTAATTCAGGACATCACCCAATCATCACTTATTCAGTCTTTATTATGTTTTAATCCTTTAAGCAGATCAGTAGAGGATCCATGAGCATGCTTTTTTAGGGCAATCTTATTCTAGTTCAATTATTCTGATATAGGGGGAGGAAGGAAGAGATGCAGGGGAAGCAATATTTAATAACTTGTAAGATAACAAAACTAGAAAGTCATTAAAACAAATAAAATTACTGTTGCATAAATCTGTAGAATGTAATGATATTTTTACATAGCACAAATGCATCAAGAACAAAAAATACTACCATAGCTGTATGGTTTGTTTGTTTTTTATGTGCATAGGAATCCATTAACTTTTTAAAAGAAATTATCTCCCAGTAATCTGAAGTACTTAGAGAGAAAAGAGTTCACAGAATGTGATTTCTCAAAGACATTTTTAAAGCTCATATTATTTTGAACTTAGACTGGTCAGGAAAATCTCTGTTTTTAAGTTTTAAAATGAAAACAAAACAAAACACCAAGAATACAAATAGTCCTTTAGCCAAAGTTAAGAGGGAAAAATATATGTGTGTATGTATATATAAATGTATATATGCATGTGTGTATACACATATATGTGAAGGATGCCAGAATCTTTAGAGACTTATTTATATAATTAAATTTTCTTTTGCAACTTATTCTGTCTATCCTAACTCTCCTGTACATGTTTCCTGTTTAAAAGATTAATGTTAAAATGAACTAAAACCCTCAGATGTATTTTTACACACACACACACACACACAAAAAAAAAAAAAATCAAAAACATTTGACATTACCTTGTCTCCACGCTTTACAGTATGAAGCTGAAGTTGCCCAATAGCTTTCTTTGTTTCTTTTCTATGGTTCTTCAGAAGAGAACATATTCGTAATTACTTGACTTTCCAATTAACTTTAGTGAAAACATTATTTAAAATGTTTTAAAGAATTTAAATGTAATGAATTTTATGTTTCTACTCTTCCACCAATACACAGCAGAAAGCTTTCTGTAATTTATAATGTCACTTAAGTTTTTTTTGTCTGTGCCTTAGAATGACTAGAACAGAAAGACTGCACTACAGACAATTCAAATGCCATCAAGGGACTAACCAAATCAAATTATCAAAATCAGATGAAATTATGATCCACCCTAAAAATTACTTTATCTTCCCCCAAACTAGAGTAATTAAAGCTAAAATGTCTCTCTATATTGAACTTAAGTACATCTAAATTAACAAGTAACTCAAAAATATTTCCCAAAAGACCAAATAGTAATAGCATTATTATTATAGTGAATTTTGATTCTCAAATGACTTCCAAATATTAAATGTCTTAATAAAAATTTTTAAAAGGTTATTACCCATAATTACCTGATTTCCAAACTGTGAACCAGCATATAGGAAACGCTGTATGTAGTAAAATATTAGCCAGGCTAATGATATGATCATCATGGTGATGAAAGCAATGGCTACAAACACAACAGACTGACCACTGATAAACTCTTGCACATGACGTGTACCAACTTCTATGGTCATTTTAACTGGAATTCCTCTTTGTACTGGCCCCAAAATTTCTATTCCTTTTGGATAGCTAACCATAATTACCACTGTATTTCCTGTCCCTGTTGAGGAAAAACAAAAACAAAAAACCACGGATCAATATTAAGTATGCATGGTCTAGGTTGGGCTTAAATTCAATCCAATAAGGATTTAAGTAACTATGAACAATGACACAAGGAGTTTACAACCTACTAGTTAAATTCTAGCCCTTTCACTTACTGCCCAGATGACCTTAGATTCACTTCACCATCTACAGAAGATGAAGATAATACTAGTTGAATGACAGAGTGCTATCAAGGTAAACAAAAATGTATGTAAAGTGCTTTAATAGAAATATAAAAGTATAAGATATTTTACCTATAGGCTTATCCCATATTATAGCATCTAAAAACAGACTATCTAATTACTCAAAATTCAACACATTCATTGAGTAGGCCAACTATGGGAATACAAAGATGAATAAGACAATTCCTGATCTCAAGGAGCTTACAATCGAGTGTATGAACATAAGAAATATGGAAAATACTGTATAATACGGAGTATGTGTTAAGGGCCCTAGGAAAGGCCCAAAATGTTATCATGTTTGCAGAGCTGGGGCGGGGGGGGAATCATATATAGCATCACAGAAATTAACATTTAAGCTGTGCCTTGACAAGTAGAAAATGAATTGGCCAAGTTGGACATAAGAGTTGGGAGAGCAATACAAGAAATGAGAACAGCATGAATTAAAGTAGAAAGCAAAGAAAGGTTATGGGGTGATGGGGCAATTAGTCTACTTTGGTTGGACTATAGTTAGGAGCCACTGAAAATCATAACTATCTGATAGGGATATGAATGTTATATTGAAAATGCTATTGACAACACGGTATAATATAGCAAAAAGTACTGAGTGTGGGGAACTGAGTTGTATTTCTACCTCTGCCCTAGCTAGGTGCAGGACCTTGAGTAGCAAATCATTTTACTTCTCTGTCTATCCTGTATCTTCTTTTCTAATAAACCAGACTACAATAATACATGATTTCACACAAAGAACTTTGGAAGCAGATGGGTGGCTTGACTTTTCAAAACAGTAAATTCTTGAAACATAAAAGTATAGGCTATTCAATTCTTATGATCTGTCTTATGTTTAATCTCTCTTTTGTGTCATTATGTTCTCTTTCCAGTGTAGACTGCTAGAGAGGCCAGGCTTGTTTAACTCACATTATACTACCCTGTCCCTGCCCCAATTGGCAGACAGAGGAAAGTACTGTTTACTCCTAAAGCAAAAGCTATAACTCTTCCACATATCTGGACAAGAGAAAAACAGGGAAAAAATTCATGAATTTTGCTCTGAAATACTTTCCATATTTCCCTGGCTGTTAAAACCTTTAAATACACTAGACATAATTTTATAAAAAAACTAATTTATACATAAACTTTAGACCTTCAAAGAGCTAATAAAGAACAGGAGATATTTTGGGGAGAATGGAAATATGTACCACACCCAATCCAAAAAAAAAATTGGGGAATTTTATGTCTCTGACCTAATAGTAATATTTTTATTTTCAGTGACCTTTATAATACTTCTATCCCATTTTTAGGTCACTTTAAATGAAGTACCTGACAACATGGGTTTGTTTATTCAGATGGCATATACACATAACTAACTATTAAAGCAAACACTGCAAAGTGATTTACATATATTATCTCATTTGACCCTTAGAACAATCCTATGAGATAAGGAAACTGAGGCTGAGAGAATTTAAACTTTATATGATACGCCCATAGTCACACAGGTAATAACAGTCTAAAGCTGCATTTAAAATCATGTCTTCTTACTATGTATAAAAGTGAGCTATTTGTAACAGAGCACTAAAACTAAGAGAAAGAAATGGAAGGTGAGATGAAGACTTCATGCTAAATCAGGAAATCATCTTGTGGGTCCACAATGTCACTGGGCAATCCTTTTATTTACAGAATCCTATAATCCTAAAATGTCCTCCTAAATGACTAAAAAGTCATTGAGTCCAATCTCCTAATTATAGGGGTGGGGTGGGGGTTGAGGGACTATATAAGACCCTGAGAAGTTGGGAAGTTTCTTGCTCAAGGCTACAAAACTAGTTCAATTCCATATGAGGCAGGCAAAAAACAGTCCCTGACCAAAGGAACTTACATTCTACTTAGAGGCTACACTATGTTCACAGTTAAGTAAATACAAAATATTTACCAAGTAAATATAAACACTGTGCAGACAGTGTGGTATGGTGTAGTGATAAGAATGGAGACTTGGAATCAGAGTCTGAGTAATTCTTCAGATACTAACTAGCTGTTATGATCTTGGGCAAATCATCTAACTTCTCTCAGCTTCAGTTTCCTCATGTGTAAAATGAAAGGGTATAGGTACTATAGCCTCTAAGGTCTCTTCTAGACCTAATTCTATGCTTCTGTAAATACAAGGTGTTTTAGGCTAGGCTAGTTATTTAGGTTGATACTGGAACAAAATGAGACACTAGTAAGCCACGGCAGATGAAGGATATTCCATGAGGATAGGCACTGAGAACCCCTTAAATCAAACCAGAGATGTTTTTTTTTTGTTTTGGGGGGTTTTTTGCTGAGGCAATCGCGGTTAAATGACTTGCCCAGGGTCACGCAGCTAGTAAGTGTCAAATGTCTGAGGCCACATTTGAACTCAGGTCCTCCTGACTCCAAGGCCAGAGTTCTAGCCACTGTGCCCCCTAGCTGTCCCTGAAGCCCTTAAATTGAACCAGCTAAACAAGTCCCATTTCAATCCACCAGCCAAACATCTGAGGCCCCTCTAGTTCCTAGGGGCTTCTTTGTACTCAGGTGATGAGGCAGCGAAGTTAACCATTTGAACTCTTAGTCCCCAGAGGAAAACAAGTCTCCAGGAATGTCTCAATACCTTTTAAGGAAAAACTAGCCTAACCTGCATAGGCAAAGGAGGGATGGTAAGCTATTGCTACTACCACACAAGGTAATTTGTTTTTGTTTTTTTGCCGGGGGATCCCTAGCAACCTGTTAGGAGAATCAGAAAGAGTCTCATTTAGGAGGAGGTGCTTTAACTGAACTTTGAAGGAAGCTAAAGTCTAGTTGGTTAGTACAAAAGGCTGGATTAGAACCCAGGTAGCTTAACTCTCCATCCAATAGCCATTACATTGCAGCCCTACTCAACCATGCCAGTTGATGTTCTTCACTGTCTCTATCCATATTATAATTAAACAGTAGAGCAAAAAGCCAGGATTCCCTCCAAATTCTGGTCCCCTATTTCCAACTAGGCAATTTCCACCTTGACCTTTGGCCACTGCTTCACTGAACATATTTGTAATTATATAGTCATCTTCTCTCCTCCATCCCTCTACCCAAAGCACTTCTTCCTCCTGATTCTCCTATTTCTCATTCTCAAAGTCACCCAGTCTTAAAAATTGGATTCTGTACTTCCTCTGACAAATTACATTTAAATCAATACTAATTCCTGTTCATTCTTTTTTTCCTCTTCCCATTCAATTCCTACCTCCACTACCTTAGATACTATTACTACTTCATGTATAGATTACTACAACTGACCTTCAAGCTTCCAATCTCCAGTTCACCTCCCAGAGCAAAAAGAACCTGAACTCCTTAATTTGGCATTCAAAGTCCAGTTCAAATACCATCTCCTATAAGAATTACAATCCAATTAGAAAAGGATCCTTTAATGGTTACAAAAGAGGGCTTCTATAGATGGGGGAAGTTAGTGGGTAATAATAGAGATGAAAAAAGAAGAGTCAAGAAAACATTAAAAAATAATCACAAGAGGGGCAGCTAGGTGGCTCAGTGGATAGAGTCATGGCCCTGGAGTCAGAAGGACCCAAGTTCAAATGCAGCCTCAGACACTGGACACTAGCTGTGTGATCCTAGGCTTAGAAGGCCTAAATAAAATCAGAGAGTTAAAATATACATATACACAAGAGCAAAAAATTCAGAAGGGGACATAGATAAGAAGGATAATTTTATTACTACTATGTTAAATTTGCTATGCACTTTAAAAAACATGAAGATATCAGTTATTTCATATGCAAGCCTACAGATTGAAATGTTCATGTTTAAATTTACAATAAAATGATCACTTTTTTAAAAAAATTCTTTCCTTCCTATGAATTCCATTGTTTATACTTAATAAATTTCACTGGGCATATCTCATATGATATTTATTGATGAATGACTTATTCTTCCTACTAAAGAGTAAAAACTCCTGACCACAAGGTCCAAATGTTATTTCATAGTCTGCATCCCCTACTATGCCAAGTATATATGACAGTTATTCAATAAACTAAATGGCTACAGACTAAATGGTTTGCATACTAGCCTCCTATACTCATCAAGTCAGATCATTATGCCAAAAAAAAACCCACAAAACTGTGAATACTCTTTGACCCAGCACTCTGATCTACTTTAAGTTCTATGTCCCAAAAAGAACAAAGAATGAAAACAAAAGGATCCATATGATCTATATAGATATAGATAGATATAGCAGTTCTTTTAGAGGTGGCAAAGAACTGGAACCTAAAGGGGATGTCTATCAATTGGGAAATAACTGAACAAATTATGTTAAGTGAATGGAACAGAATATTACTGTACTACAAGAAATGGTATGAAAAACAAACCTAGAAGTATTAGTTTATATAAACTGATGCAGAACTCAGAGCAATTTATACAGTAGCAACATTCTGAAGGTAAACAACTTAGAAAGACAAGAATTCTGAACGATTTAATGATAAAACAAGATTCTAGAAGACCTACTATGAAGCATGCTATCCAACTTCTAACAGAGGCAACAGATTCAAGTTCTCAGATTCTTTGACAGAGCTACTGTACAAAAACTGTTTTCTCTTAATGAAGGTAAGGAGATGGGGAGGGGGGAGTTAAGGATGGAAGAAAGGAAGGAAGGAAGGAAAGGGAAGAAAGGAGAAAGTGAAGGAAGGAGGAAGGGAAGCAGTGAGATGAGGGAAGAAGGGAGGGAAGGAAGAAAACTCACTGAAGCACATTTTTGAAATGCACAGTACTAAAAGCCAGAAGAAATCTCAAACAAGTATGACAGCTTTGAAAATAGAATATTCAACCATATACATAAAAAGAAAAGCAAGCTATGTGTAAGAGATTTGCAATTTCAAATACAATTTCCTCTATATTCTACTGTGTATATAAGAAAAGTATTCATTTTAGTTGATACATGCTAAATTCAAAATGAAATGTTTCTAAAACAAATAGTCTAATACCAGGAGAGAAGTGCTTGTGTCTGTGTAGATGTTTTATGATGTTCCAAATTCTAATTTCTTAACTTTAATAAAAGTTGACTAGAAAATGATTATCATTAACAGACTTTTCTTAAGCCTCCCACTCAAAAATGTTTAATTCTTTGTTTACCTATGGTCCTTTTCTCTCCCTTCTCCATCTTCCTCAAGTTTCTTAACCAAATCAGCTAGCTGAAGATCAAGTCTGCAGGCTTGATTCTTTTATAGAGGGCAGCTAGGTGGCGCAGTGGATACAGCACCAGCCCTGGAACTAGGAGGACCAGAGTTCAAATGTGACCTCAGACACACAATACTTGCTAGCTGAGTGACCCTAGGCAAGTCACTTAACCCCAACTGCCAAAAAAAAAAAAAAAAGGATTCTTTTATAGAACCACTGGTGGAAAACCTTATAGAGCAAAGAAAGGATGCTTTCTAAAGGGAGGGAGTCTTGATATCTAATGTTGTCCTGCCTTTTCTAAACCCCTTCTCTCTTCTTCAGGAAACTTGTAACAAAGAATTTTGCAGCAGCATTCTGAGCAGGAATAATAGCAGCTTATATTTAGTTTAGTGCTTTGTATCCTTCCACCATCTCTTTTGGATTTTAACAACCTTTACTGATAAGACAATTACAATCGTGAGGCAGCAGCTCTTACCTTTTATGTGTCAGACCCCTTTGGCCGTCTTAGGACCCTATACGAAAAGTATACTCCCTTTCTCAACATTTTTAAATGCATAAAATAAAATACAATGATTTACAAAGGAAACCAATTAAATTGAAAACTGTTATCAAGAAAAATTTTTGAGTAAGTTCACAGATTAGTTAGTACCAGCACCTACCTCCCAGGGTAGCTGTGAAGATCCAATGAAAGTAGATTTATAAAGGGCTAAATAAATTATAGCTATTATTATTTCAAATTATGTCCTCACAACTATGATGTAAGTACTATTATTATTATCACTTTACAGAATTATGACCATTTGACAGATAAGGAAACTGCCTCTTTTTTGTATCCTCACAGATTAGGCCTGAATTTGGTACATAGTACCAATATTTGGGCAGCTAGGTGGCTCAGTGAACAAACTGCAGGGCCTGCAGATTCATCTTCCTAAGTTCAAACCTGGTCTTACATACTTATTAGCTGTGTGACCTAGGGCAAGTCACTTAACCTTGTCTGCCTCAGTTTCCTTTTCTGTAAAATGAGCTGGAAAAGGAAATGGCAAACCATTCCAGTATCTCTGCCAAGAAAACCACAAACAGGGTAACAAAGAGTCCACCACGACTGAACAAATACAAATGACTGAGGCTGAGAGAGATTACAGTGACCTGCCATAATCAATATTTATTAGGTGCCTACTAAGTGGCAAGCTCCAGGCTGAGGATACAAAAAAAGAGGCAGTTTCCTCATCTGTAAAACGATAATAATAGTACCTACCTCATAGTTTAAAACAACTGTGACCATATGGGATATGTCCGAAAAGAATTTGAACTCAGGCCTTTCACAACACTGCGCACCCCCCAACCCTGGCTTAAATTGCTTCAAGTCTAAAGAGAATTGCCTAGGATACAGAGATTTTGAATAGTCAGTCCCAGATTATTCAATGAGTTCTGTGCCACAGCTTTCTAACCCACACATCCCAGATAAATCAACAAGCATTAATTAAGCTCCTGCTAAGCGCTAAGTCCTAGGAACAGAAATTTCAAAAAAAAAAAAAAAAGACAAAAGGCGACAGTGCCCTGCTCCTAAGGTGCTCAGAATAGGGGGAAGGAAGAGGGGAGAGGAAGGGTAAATGAAGGGGAGAAGGGAGAAGAGGAGTGGAGGGTAAGAAGAGGAGAGGAGGAGAGGAAAAGTAGAAGGGAGGGAAAGGAGTGGAAAAGAGGGGAACAGGGGACAGAGGGGAGTGAAGAGGAGAGGAGGAGGGGAGTGGAAAGGAAGGAAAGTGGAGATGGGGAAGAAGGGAATAGGGAGAGGGGAGGGGAAGGGAAGGAGGGAGAGGAAAGAGGAGGGGAAATTCCTGGCGAATAGGAATAGTGTCATTCTAGGTATCCCCACAACCTACACCGAAAGTGCTTAATAAATGCTTGTGGATTGACAAGCAACTTTCCCAGGACCCCTAGAAGGCACGCAGGGCCCAAGGCTGGGGTGGGGGGGAGAAGGGACCCTCCCATCCCGGAGGAACGCACGTTTGGCGAAGCGCCGCGGGCCGAGCAGCGCGCTCCCCTCCCCCTCGCCACTTCCCCTCCCCTCCGTGGCGGGGCGCCCCTCACCCAGGTGGGACATGGAGTTGGTGCCGTTGCCGTAGTGCTCCTCGTTGTAGATGACCACGGCCGAGGCGTTTCTGCGGGCGGCGTTGAGCACCTTGTCCTTGAAGGTACAGTCCCCGCGGGCCACCAGGGCGATCCAGGGCTCGCGCCTCCCGGCCGCCCGCCCCCCCAGCGGGGGCACGTAGTAGCGGGTGTCGGGCGCGCAGCCCTTCCGGTCGCGGCCCGGGGAGCGGGGGATGCCCACCAGGCCCTGCAGGCTCTCCTTGGGCGAGTTGTCCCCGTAGCGGCCGCTCTCGGTGGCGCCCTGCACCGTCGCGTTCGTCAGCGGGTCCACGTACACCGTGCTCACCAAGGCCGAGTACCACTCGAGCGCCCGGCCCCGGGCCCCCGGCAGCTCGCACAAAGCTAGGGCCAAGAGGACCACGGCGCCCCCGAGGCCGCCGCCATCGCTCGGTCTCCGCCGCCGCCGCCGCACCATGGCCGCGCTGCGTCGAACTGAGGAGGAGGAAGCTGAGGAGGCGGCGGCGGCGGCGGCGGCAGGACCGCGGACACGACGGGGAGGGGGCTTGGCCCCCCCGCAGGGAGCCCCGAGCGCGAAACCCGAGAGGAGGAGCGCGCGCCCGAAGGAGGCGGAAGGGCGCGGGGAGGAGGAGCAAGTGAGGAGGGGGCAGCGAGACGTCGGCACCTCCGAGTCAGCGGCGCAAACCCTGGCAATGGCGAGGTTAGGTGGTGCGCTGAGGGGAAAAAGGACAGGAGGGGGGAGGGTGGGGAAGGTGCAGGGGGTGGAGCCAAGCTCGAGAGAGGCTGGGATTCATGGGCTTGCAGGTGGGCGGGGCCTGAGGGGGTGTGCTTGGGCGCGCGCTCTCTCTGCCCTGGGAGGGCTGACTCCTAGGGGGAGCCGGGCGCCTGGTGATCGGAGCTAGCCAGGGGGTGCTGGGCAGGGACTGAAAGCTTCTCAGGACTGCGCCTACGGGCTGTATTTCCAGTTTCCGTCCCCACCTCTCTCTTGTTTTGGGAAACTGATTGAATTCCGGGATCCTAGCGTTAATCTAATTCAAGTTGTTCTTAACCTTTTTGTGTGTCCTGGACTGCTTTGGAAGTCTGGCGAAGCCTATAGATTTCTCAGGGCAATACTTATAAATCCATCTAACTTGCAGTTGAAACCTTGGGTGGTCTTTCCCAGTAGATTATGAGCTCCTTGAGAGCAAAGTCTGTTTGTATTTGTATTCAAGACAAATATTCTACTTGTGTCCCTCGTGTGGTTAGCACAGTCACTTGCACTTCTAAGCACTTAATAAATGTGTTCATTCATGCGTACATGCATACATACATGAATTAAGTAAAATACATAGGACTTCAAAGGAAACCAATTATGTTGAAATAGTTGTGTGTGTGTGTGTGTGTGCATCTTTAAATTCAAAGACAGGTTAATCTCAGAAAAACTTTTTTGGGGGGGAGGGGGGCAAGGAATGATTTCCTCAAATTCAGAAACTCCCAGTGTAGCAACCCCTTCTACCAAATTACCTTGTAACTCCTCTATACCTTAAAGTCTTAGAAAATTGTGTTCCAGAGCAAAGGGGCTGATGACCTCTCCCATAGTTACACATATGTATGGGTCATAGGCAGAACTTAAACCCCTCCTAAAGGTGGAAAAGAGGCTTCTATTTAGTAGGCAAATTGACTCGAAGATTAAATCCTAGCATCACAGAATGTTAGAAATGAAAAGGACCTTGGGATTGAAAAACTTTGCAGATAAGAACACTGAAAGAAGTGGCCAAGTTGCTTGAAGTTTTAATTTTGATTTTTTAATTAAACTGAATTGCACAAAAATGATTTAAGCACCTACTGAGTGAAGTGAAATGTGAATTAATTGGGGGAGCTACAAATATTAAATAATTCAGGAGCCCTGCCCTTATGGAGCTTACAGTCTGGTAGAGGGGATATGACATGGATAGACAGACAGACAAATAGATAGATACATAGATAGACAAATAGACAGACATGTATATATATATATATATATAATGACTTTGATAATAAGTTCATATGAAAAAGAAGTGAGACAGATGGTGATGTTTGTGTGTGTGTGTGTGTGTGAGTGTGATTTATCCTGGGATTCCCTACTAGCCCCACACACTGTTCTCTGGATGATAGTTATTCAATATTTATTGAGTGAACAAATGATCAAATTTTGCCTAAGGACAGATAAATAGCCAGTTAGAGACAATGTAAAACTATCCAGAGGCAACAAAGTAGATAATTTTTCTAAAAAATTACCCAAGTTTTTTGTTAACTTTTTCTTTATTACAAGAAAGGGGGTATCACATTCAATCTACAAGCATTTTTAAGCTCCAGCTACGTGCTAGACACTGTGCTGTTAAAAACTAAAAAATCGATAAAATTGTTATTTAAAAACTATTCTTTTAGCAGTAACCTTAGCAGAATCCAACCATGGTAGATTTTTAACTGGCATACATGATTAGTATAGTGTCCAAGTGCTTGCCTTGAGTTAGGAATAGACTGAAGTCCCACTTCTGACAAATTCTTGGTGACCCTAAGCAAGTCATTTAATTTTTCAAGGCCTCCATCTAAGACTATAAATTTTGGAACAGTTATGATTTGCTTTGGTGGAAAAGATGTCTTCCCTTTACCAATCAAATCTCAAGTCAGACAGAATATACACCAAAAAAACGATACAATCATGTACACCCAGATAAAGGATAACAACATCTGATAAGCAGTCTTATTCTTTAGAATTTTTAAAGAAGTGATATTGCTTAAACCAAAGGTGATTGTGTAAAATGGGAGATGTTTCCTGCAATTTAGCAAGTCCTCTCTTACACCATCCAGAAAACAATGTGGTCCAATCCTAAAGGACCCATGATGAAAAATGCTATCCACCTGAAGAGAAAGAACTGGTGACGTCTGAATACAGACCAAAGCATAATATTTTTCACTTTCTTTCTTTCTTTCTTTTTGTTCAAGTTTTCTTCCACAAAATGACTATTATGGAAATATGTTTTACATGATTGCACATGTATAACCTGTTATCAGATTGTTTACCTTCTCAAGGAGGGGAGAAAGGAAGGCAGGAGGGAGCGAATATAGAACTCAAAATTTTTAAAAAAAAAACTAATGTTGAAAATTGTTTTTCCATGTGATGGGGGGGAATAAAATCCTATTAAAAAATAAATTATAGATTGACTAACACAGCAAAACAGAAAAATGATAAATGTTGGAGAAGATGTGGGAAAATTAGAACACTAACTCATTGTTGGTGGAGTTGTGAACTGATCCAGCTATTCTGGAGAGCAATTTGGAGCTATGCCCGAAGGGCTATAAAACTGTGCATACCCTTTGACCCAGCAATATCATTTCTATGTCTACATCCCAAAGAAATCATAAAAATGAGAAAAGGACCCATATGTACAAAAATATTTATAGCAGCTCTTTTTGTGGTGGCCAAGAATTGGAAATGGAGGAATATCCATCAATTGAGGAATGGCTGAACAAGTTGTGGTATATGAATGCAACGGAATACTATTGTTCCATAAGAAATAATGAGCAGGCAGACTTCAGAAAAACCTGGAAAGACTTGCATGAACTGATTCCAAGTGAAGCGAGCAGAACCAAGAGAACATCGTACACAGTCACAGCCACATTGTTCGATGACTAACTTTGATAGACTTAGCTCTTCTCAGCAATGCAAGGACCTAAGACAACTCCAAAAGACTCATGATGGAAAATGCAATACCCATCCAGAGAAAGAACTATAGAGTCTGAATGCAGATGGAAGCATTTGCTCTCCTTTTCTTTTGCTGTTTTGTTTTGTTTCTTCTTTCCTGTGTTTTCTCTCATTGGTTCTGATTCTTCTTTACAACATGACTAATGTGAAAATATATTTAATAGGATTGTATATGTAGAGCCTATATCAGATTGCATGTGTTCTTAGGGAAGGGAAGAAAATTTAGAACTCAAAATCTTATGGAAGTGAATGTTGAAAACTAAAAATAAATAAATAAAATTTTTTAAAAAATTATGTTGTCTGAGAAGACACCTCCCTCCCAGTTCTCCCTTCTTTCCCCAACTCCTTTTGGAGAGGTAGAGAGTTCACAAGTATGGAATATTGCATATATTTTCAGATTTTTTTCAATGTATTAATCAGTTTTACTCTTCTTTTTTTTTCTTCATATTTTTCTTATAAACATTTTTTATTATATGGGATACAAGAAGAAATTTAGACTCTATAAAAACAAAAGATGTCAATAAAATCTTACTTCAACAACACCAACAAAATACTGTGCTTATATGTTATGACCTTGAGAGTAAGTTCATATGAAAGAGTGACAGATGGTGACAGTAAAAAGGAAGCCACTCACTCAGCAAGAGAAGTGGAAGCTTTTCCCTCATAACAGAAAGCAGCATGTATACAACAACGGGCCAATGGAGAAAATTACTCCAGACTCTCAGATGTGGAGCTGAGTACCTTTGAAGGGAATTTGTTGATTTATTTTGCTGTGATGACTTTTGTTATTATAGGGGAGTGCTTTTCTTGAGGATCCTGAACATCTTAAAATATAATCTCTTCATAAAACTTATTGCTACATATCTGCACCATATCCTGACAAAGCAGTTTTATTTTAAAACCAATTTAATGAGAGGGATAAATTATAGCTTCTTTAAAGTTGTATACTAGCAACATAGTCTTTTCCATGATATTATTTCACATATAACCTATAATGCTGAAATGCCATCAAAGAATACCCATGCAGCTACCATAGACTGGATTCATTACGAGACTGTTGGCAGCAAAATAATCATTTATTACTTAGAATTATGACTGTACTCCTAAAAAGGTAGAGCATATAAAACTGGCGTGGTTGAAAACTCTACAGCTATATGTTAAAAGCTCATCCCATTTCCTTCTGATTGACTCATTTTTACATCTTTTGATGAAGGTCTTCAGTCAAGAAAAGTGAGTGACTCTCAACACATCAACTTCAGGAATCCTTAAGTCATCTCTTCCAGTACCTCTTTGGGTGGGGCATTTTTGAACTGTAGTCTAAAACTCTCTTTAGTCTGTAATCTAGTGAATTTTGTTAAAACTTTTATAGCTGAGGTGATAATGTGGAAAAGTTACTGGATTAAGACATCAGGAGACTTAGGTTGTAGTCTAAGCTCAACAACTAACTTGCTACATGGCCTTGAGTAAATCACTTAATAGAGAACTAAGGGTTATAAGTCACCTGTAAGATGAGGTGATTGAACTAGAAGATCTTTAAAGTCCTTTATGGCTCTAAAATTACAAAATTCTTGCTGTTGTCCCCTGCCATTCAATCAGTTACCAAGTTCTGATAATTCTTTCTTAAAAGTGCTCCTTCATTCCCGTTTTGAAAGAGTACTAAACTGGATTTCAGGAAAATCCTAGTTCTGCTCATAACTCAAATCTGTTCCTGACCTCAACTGAGCAAGTCATTTTGACT